TGTCAAATTTTGTATTATTTTATCCAGAAGTTAAAATAGAAACTCCCCACTCCAAAAAAAACCAAAACCAAGAAGAAAACTAAGAGGAAAAACAAAAGAAATGTTTGTTAAAGGAAAAAAATATATACCTATATTGTCTTCCCCTAGTTGAATACTGATAAACTTATTTCAGCGCTGGTAGTTTGTGAAACAATTCTGCAATATATAAGCTTCTACAACTCTATTTACCCAAACAATGTGACCTACTATCTATTTACTCTAAAAAAATATTTAACAGGTAAGCCTACCAGCAAAACTAAACTTCAAAGCCCTCAGTTAAGCAATCTGTTATTGTAATTAACTCACAGAAAGTCCACAATGGCTTCAGATCCACCATTACCCACTGCAGTCATCTGGTCCACCTAGGATCAAATATTCTTGGCTGATTCTTAATAATAAAACGTTTTCCTTAAAATTATAACTAGTATTAGTATATAGTAACATTGAATTAGTAATGACATTTAAGCAACCTAGACAATTTATTGGCTGCCCTTCTGACAAAACTTTCCCAGTTATGATCTACCTGTTGAAAAAATACATGTATGCATTTTTAGTGCATTGCATGTTTATTTTGTAGACTTAGGGTTGTTTTTTTCTTTAGAAACAAAAGCAAAACTTAAACCAAATCTTAAATGAAGTTTAGTATCAGAGTCAGGAACCAGATGAAAGAGATTAAGGAATTGTATTTAGACATTTTATAATTTCAGAAACACAGACTGGTAAAGTCTTCATTTGCTAATAGTATGTCAGTTATCTCTATTTATCCATTCACACATTTAAAATTATTAGCCAGTTATAATTCATTCTGATTCTCCGTTTCACATTCCCCGCTCAGCTTGGCAAATAGACAAAAATGGATCTAAATATACTTTGGCAAATTGTTTTTACATGAAGTCAGTTTTAAGGTCACCAGCCATAACTATTCAAAAATGCATAGGTTCTGAGAATATGACAGTCTAATCATTCAAAAAGATTTTATAGACTGGTAATTCTAGAAACTTGAAGATTGACAAAAACACATGTTAGCTATGTTTTATTGTTAAGAGAATATGAAATATAGTGAACTTCTGCAGATATCTGTACTTATGAATGTATAAAAGTGTATAATATAATCAGTAAATACAAAGCAACTCTATATCAATATTTCAATATTTCCAAAATATACCAGTGAACCTGATGTATTAATTTAAAGATTAAAATTAAAAGATTATATGAGAATTTAGATTATGCTGGGATAAAAACTGCTGACGGCAAGGATAGTCTGATGCACATTCGGTCAAAAGTAAGACCCACTGAACCAAGTGGAATTAACCTTTCTTAGATGTGTACAGAATTGCAAGCTCAGTCATTTAAATACAGATTTTCTGATAATTAAATTGAAGACGGTGCTGCCAATCACAATAATTTTTTCCTACAATTTTAGTGATGTGATCATTGGATGGACAAGCATAATAGTTTTTGGTTTGTGGATTTTGTTTCCACAACAAAGTTTTTCTGAGGCCATCAGAAAAAAATAGTATGCTGCCTTTGGCCAGTTCTGCATGATCAGCTTATGTCAGGGTGAGCACAGGTCACTGACCATTTCACAAGAACAAGAATTCATAATATCATGTTCTACCAGCACCCAACCCACTAGAAAGGCATCATCAAAAGACAATTCATTGTAGGTGAATTGGATGGATTAACTGAAATAGTGATGTCCAATTCATGCTGTTCTTCATTCTTTTGGGGGCAAAACTTCATTCCAATTGGTTATGGAATCCAGTAGGCAGAATACTCCTTGCCCTGCAATCACTGGCATTCACCACCATTTTTTTTTCAAAGTTCACCAGTAGAATTGTGAATTGCAAATTACAACTGATGGGACAATCAAACAATAGACTTTTTAAGTGATGGACAACTGGATAGGAAAAGAAGACAATCCTGTCTTTCTCTTTAACCAAGTAAAATCAGACTGAAAGGAGAAGAAAAATGGCAGAATTGGGATGTTTTTCTTTTATTTCTCTTCTCAGTCTTCAACCAGTTGAAAAGAAGAGGAATCTGTCAACCAATGTGACCAAACAGAAGATTTGTTCTGTTCAAACAGAAGACTCCTTTAGGAACTAAGTGGCAAAAAATTGAAATCTGGAAAATAATTTCTTCATTCCAGCTGGTTTACATTTGGAAGTCCAGCAGCTTAAGGTTGCAGCCCACAAAACACACACACACACACACACACACACACACACACACACACACAAAACACACCTGAGTTAAGGACATGATTGGCAGTCTAATTATTAAAATGGCTTTAGTGGCGATGGTAAAGTAACATCCTCAGCATGGATGTATTCCTTTGGAGGAATACCCAGTTTCAGTTATGTAGAACAATTCTGTCCTTCAAGAGAGATCAGTAGCTAGAGATGGGGTGGGGATTATTGAAGATACAGCTGAGCTTCATTGCCATTGCTGCTCACTGTCTAAGCTATCCATAGAAGGCAGGAGCCTGCCCTTCCAGAATGATTGATCTTCACTCCTAGCAGATTGTCTTTGCAAGCTCTTAAAATAAAGACATAAATGAAAGCTGCTGTAGCTGAACTATTTATTAAATATTGTTTGTTCTCCCTCCCTCCCTCCCTTCCTCCCCCACCCTCTCTCTCTCACACACCCCTATTTATCTGTCTTATGAATTAGGCTGAAGAAAGATTACTGTGACAGAGTTTGATTACCTTTTCATTCAGGACTACTTTGTCTTAAAAATATAACCTAGTAATCTGCTTGACTACAGCTAAAATATTAAGTAATTAGCTGTCAGAGTCATGAATATTATTTACATTTTGCAAGTATAATTTATTATTAAGCAAATGCATATCTCATGTCTTTTCCAACAGTTCGTGGTTGCTATCAAGCGCTACATATAGACTGGATTTGGCATTTTTATCCACCTTTTAAGTCTTTCCCAAAGACCTGCATTAGGCAGATGTTGTTTGATGATGTTAAAGGTCTCATTGCAAGATTTTAGGTGTTTCAAGTAAAGCTGAAACTCACTAGCAGGGAGAATTCCATCCATATATTATTCTCTTCTCTGGTTTAATTTTATTTCTTAGTTATAATTAAGTTTTTGCCACTGATTTTATCATTGTTTTTATTTATATTTTTAATTGAAAATATGTTTTTATTATTTAACTTGCCCTATTATCATAAATATAAAAAAGTGTACAATCTGTTTGCACGTGATTATACCTCATGTTACATTTGACTTGAGTTAATGGATCTTAGAATGCTCCTTGAAAACTTGAGCTTTGGTTTTCCATACTTGTGATATGTTATAAGCAAATATCTATGTTACTTATAAGTATAGCATAAAAAAATGGGCATATGTAGTACTATGAAATAATCCCACTTCTATAACAGATTATAAATGGTTTTATATGATAATTAAGAACTAATGCACTACCCTTTTTATATCCATATACTTGTTTTGTTTTGTTTTCAATTTGCTGCAATGTAATTTGTCTTATATCTAATCAGTCAGTCAAGTAATCTTAATTACTATAAGATGAAGCTTAGTTTCACCAATTCAAACATGTGTATTCTATAATTCATAGAGGAAAATACTGAAGAATCTGCAATGTTACATTCCAGTTTTTATCATTAGTATTTGTACATCACAACTGCCTTCTTTACCTCCATTGGTATTCATGTAATTATTTCTATCTAAACAAATATAATCTATTGATTATAGAGATGAAAAGGTTCTAATGTCATCTAGTGCACTATTTATAGATGTGGGAAAAAGAAATAGAATTGGTAATAATTCAGGAAACATAGTTGACTTGGAAAAATGCTACAAATTATCTGGGATATTTATAATATAATTTGTGCATTGTGTACCACTAGTTTGGATGGTAGTTAAGGTACCGGACTAGAAACCAGAAGTGAGTTCTAGGTCTCCTATAAGCATGAGAACGATTGGGTGGGTTTGGGCCAGTCACTTTCTCTCAGCCCAACCCACTGCATTGGAGGCAGGAATATTAAATATGTTTTATCCCTTGTATTGACCCCCTGCCTCCCCCAAAAGGACAGAATAAAAATACAATAATAATAGCAGTACCAATAGTAATAGGCCCCTTGGGTGCAATCCTAAAACAACTGGAGCACTACTTGAACATCATCGTTATTATAAAAATCATCATCAGTCAATTGCAAAAGACAGCTTTACTTGGAACAGCTTACATCCTTCAGTGATACCGGTAACACCATCAAACATCCACATTTGCCCATCTCAGGTCCTGACTTGATAGGTGGATAAAAATGCCAAATCCAGTCTGAACATCTGGCTGACTGTGTGATGAGCCACAATAACATCACTTGCAGATTTTGGGTTTCTAAGATTTCTTAATATTGTAAGCTGCCCAGAGTCGCTTCAAAATGAGATTGGGGGGGGGGGGGGGAATAAATATAATAAATAAAATATTTTTTTTTGCAGCTCATGTATCATGGTCTAGAAGATAACCTGGCAGGAAAGATACAAAAAATGTTAGTTGACATTCTGTGGTCATCCAGATTGTTGCAGCTGCTGTGTGCTAACCCCATATTTATCTGGCAAATTTGCAGCTACTTTGTAATCTTTAATAAAGATCCTCAATATGGATTCCCCCCCCCCCCAAATTAACAGAACCTCTGCTGTTGAATATGAAAACCAGTGTGACAGTTTTATTTATGACTTACACAAACTTTGCTTGAAAATAAGGCATGAATTGATGGAGGGAAGAATAGAAAGAAGATGTAAACCTTGGGAACTAGTTAAAGAGAAGGAAGGCTAGAGAGAGAATTTAAATCCACCAACATTTTGAGTAAGTACTTCTTGAAGCAACATTGGTTGGTTTATTGGATGTGATCTTTTCCTAAATCTTGATTGCTAGGTCTCTTAACTAGAGCAAGGATTTGTTACCTTGTTAACTTCTGTTTTTTATTTTCAGGCAATGGATGATGGAACCCTCTTCTGCTCAGAAAAAAAAATCAACAACAAAACCCCATGTATACAAACTTGATATATGCTAATAATCATAATATGCATAAAATATAAGAAATTGCGTTTTAAATAGTTAATCTGCTCTTTGCTGTGAAAATTCATGAAGATATATACTGGAGAATATGCCTGAAGCACCTGCATTGTTTTTTTTTTTAAAAAAATATTTTGCATTAATTCTTATATTAGATCCTTTTTGTTTTCTAGTAACCTGCTGTTGTCTTTTACAACAGGATACTAGATTGAGTAAAGATTGTATGTTTCTTTGGTATCAGCTTCTACTTGGAAGACTCAGAGAGAGAGAGAAAAGAAAGAGACAAAAGCGTCAATTGTTTCTGGGCTATCATTGTGTTCTAATTCTTTTAGTAAATTCACACAATAATATTTGAATAAAACCGGAACAAATTCTACTTGAGAACTGCATGGAACTAATGAGGAACAAAGAGACCATGTTATACTCTTTGCTGTCTGAACAATGGCCTTGTTGCTGTTTGATCTTTTATTTTGTTGATTTCCTTCTTTTCTGAAAGAAGCAAGTTATATTATAGTTCAAAGTTCTGTTCATTGCTTCAATCCTGACAACCTGTTCTGCAGATTTAAACAGTTAATAAAGGAATCACCATTTGTCTTCCACATACTGGACTCTACTAATATTTATCTTAGAAACAATGAAACCTTTTTTTGTGTAGATGCATGAGTCACTTTGAGGTATGTACACAATGTTGTGTGTCATTGAAAATTCTAATCTCAGGTCAGGTTTGCTACAGGTTTTGTATTTCCTTTTAACTTTGATTTGGCTCCTGATTACTAATAATGAGCATCCTTTTAAATTAACATTGATACATGTAGTTTCACTTTTAAAAGTATATGAAATAAAAATAGAGGATCTCCTGAAACAAATATATGAATATATAAGAGTCTGTATATGATAGGCAGAATGCTGTTTAAAGTCAGATGCTATTTTTTACTTGAAGATTCTGGATCTCAATTATTCTTTTTTAAAAAGATAACTAATAAATTAATAGTAGCTTTAACATCTGTAAAATGCTGCATATCCTTTAAATTATTAATCACATTTACAATCAAAGTGTGCTTCTTTTATTAAACTGGCATCTTGCCTTTTGAAACTACGATCTCTTCAGCAACTTTATGAAAGATTAGGCTATCATCAGTCAGTGAACTTGTATAGCTGATTGTGGATCAGACTAAGTCCAACACTTAACCACTACACCAGGTAGGTGTATGTTTGGGTATCTACAGCTAATGATTTTTTTTTTCTAACACAGTCTTCCTATAACCAAAACAATGTCTACATATATAGGCATCATGAGATAGAATTTACAGAAATCAAATTGATCATACTATTGATGCAAGGATATGGAAAAGCCCAAATATAATAGCAAAGACATGGTAAAGAGTTAATTGTAGAACAAACCACAACCTGTTCTATGCAAATACAATTTGAACTATGCAAATACATAGTTCAAGATAAAGCAGAAGATCAAGGTCCATCAGCTTTTAGGATATGATCCTGCACTTTCAAGCAGAGCATCAGGAATTGTTTTGATGACTTGAACTTCATGAACAGGGAATCATTATGGAATGAAATAATAGTTCTCCAGAATGAATGAGAAAAGAGACTGCCAAAGCTAAGAAACAGAAGAAAACTTGATGTCAATGCCAAGAGTGAAAACTGGAAGGAAAAAATAACATATATTTATATGTTAAATATAGATGGATTAGTTTACAAATCTTGAAAAAAGTTATTCTGTGCTACATATTTAAATAAAAAAAATTAACCTCTGCCTTGAAACTTACTCTATTTTAACAAATGACTGCTTTCAGAAACTATGTTCAGTTCATCAGGAAACCCACTCTCTGACAGTACATCTGCAATGACTTGCACCTGAAACTATTGACATTCAGTGAGGACTGCCCATTGATTGTCCTAAGATATATCATAGATTAAAATTTCTATTAAGTATTTACTGTAATATAGAGACCTCCAGCAAAGAAGATGGAAAATAATGTTGTATAGGAATAAAAGAGGTCAACAGCTTATTTCTTTATTTAGCTAGATGCCTGTAAGGGGCTGCCTCAAACATGATGTACATCTTACTAAGGGATATAACACCACTGCCATTCTTTGCAGAGAGCTTCAAAGGGTAGTTTAATTGAATGGACATCTCATGAATATGGATAACTAACTATACATTTTCCCACTAACAAAATATTGCTGCTTAGGTGCTGTGAAAATGCTGTTTCTTGATGTGATATTACAACAGATGTGATAGCTAATGGAAAGATCTTTGAATATTGCACAATTATTTAACAACAATTGCACTTTTTATTGCACTTACAAGCATAGAAAGGCCTGAAGCAGAATTATAATATATCAGGATTTCTGATTTATTTTGTAAATAGGATGTGCTCCAGTGGTTTTATATGTTTGAATATATTTCTAAATATACTGAATTCCAAGTACAATGACCGTGGATATAGTCATGATTAAAGTCTAAGATAAAAAGAACATTTCGAATTATTTGGGAGAGAAACAAAATCAGTTATCTTAATCATCTTTCTGAGTCTCATTCACTTTACCTGGCTTTTCCTCAACAGATCAATACCTAGAAACTTAATATTTGGGGAACCAAGTTTTTATTTTTTTTAATAAAACATTAATAGTTCCTGCTGAATAAGTTGAGCTGTATAAAATGACAATGCCTGTTTATTCTGAGTTAGACTTTCACATAATACTTTGTAATAATATATAGAGAAGGTATAGAATTAGTTACTAGAATAAACAGCAATGGTGCTGTTTAATGGTGCTAATGGTGAAAGTAGTACTGATCAGTTTGGACATATTTTGACAATATGCTACAAGTACATCTAAAATCTGGTTTTATCTGAAGCATGTTGGCGTTATTTCATGCAAGCTAGAATCATTAGTCTAGAGACTATTTTTATTTTATTATTTTGTTTTATCATTTATTTAGAAGCTCTGTCAAGAAAAAAGAAATAAAAAAACAACGAAAAAGATAAATTTATAGGCTTTATTAATTTGAGCAAAAACTTTCAAAGCTAACAGATGAGTATTAAATATATCATTAAATTATAATTGAAAGCAAATCAATAATAATTAACACAAGTAACCAATATAATAAAAATAATCAATCATAATAAATATGTTTTCCTGTAATTTCTTTTTAAAAATGTATCCTTATTATAACAAATCAGGCATGCCAAATATTGTAAAGCCTTATGTAGAGAGAAGCCCAAACCTTGGATGAGATACAAGTCCATGTGGAAAACCAGGCTCTAAATTATTTCCCGATTAAATTATATTCATTTTTTAAATACAAAGTTATTTTTTTATATTAATGCATACTCTCACAATTTAGATAGCATTGTATGTAATTTTCAATAAGAAGCATAAAACAACCTGAAACTATTATATACAGAATCAACTCCATGTAGCAGTTTAGAAATATAAAGAATTATTAGCAGAAAAACAACTGGCAGAAAAGAAAACTTAATATTTAAGATTTGATAAATTCTATGTGAATCACCTTCCAAAAATATTGAACTTTATGATATTGCTACCAAGTATGAAAACATGATCCAGTATTTCCAACTATGTTTTGAATACAAGTTATTTATAGTTTTTTAGGGTTGGACTGGTTCACTGATGTCATGGCGATCAATAATGTAGCTATTCGACTTGATAGCAGTGTGATTGCCATCTGTTACAATACTAATAGTCTTTATTGTGCAGTTGGTTGACCATTCTGAATACAGATTCCTGGATTAGATGGGCCGGGGGTCCAGTCCAGCTGTTGAATAACAACTAGTTTGTTCGAATCTTCATATGTATAGTAAGAGTTACAATATTTTCATGCATAAGAATATGTTCCTGCCCATTTTCTGATAAAGAAGTGAGAGTTGAGTACCTCAATAGAGACAGAAATCAAAGCAAAGAAAGCATGAACATGATATTTAACTTGTAACAATGGAACACATGAGAAAATATAGTCAATAATAATGGATGATGACTCCTACTATAAAAATAAGTCAAAAATATGAAAGAGATACATTGGATTAGTCTGATCATGCAGAGAGAATGAATGAGCATTGCAAAATAAATATATGAAGAAAAAGTGAATGAATCAAGAGGAAAAGAAAATTGACACATGTTTCAATGCAGCTGATGAAATCTTCCAAGAGAGAGGTAAGATTAAAGAACAAAAGGCAATGTATATAGTAGTATGTAGATGTGTGGAAGCAATGGAGATTTATATGGACAGAAAATTATAGACAAGAATGATGATGCCAATAAAGGAGAATATTTGTAGCTCAGGGTTGAAGTCAGGGATCCTTGGTACTTGCTTGTTTTCTTGTACCACCTCCTACTGACGCTGACAGGGAAAGCCACCAGAATGTAAACTGACAGGAAACAGCACTCTTTATTAGCACTGATGATGTTACCTAGTTTGGTAATGAAATGTCTGCAGGAAAACAAGCAAGCTCAGAGAGTACCAAGGACCCCTCAGTATAGTGAATCGTATTGGCTTAAACTAGTTTTACCTATATCCCCTTTCTTTTTTCTTTTAATCTTATGATTTTAATTTATTTGCCTTACTGTTTCTTTATCTTTTCTACAGTATATTCTGTTGCTTACTTTGAACGGGACTATTGTGCTGAGTATGTACGCAACACATATGTACAGTATCGTATTTCTGTGGTTAGTCTTTTATATCTTAGGGCTACTAGATCTGAACTGCTAAAACCCACAGACTTAGTTTTCTGTACTTCTTTGCTGTCTGGATTTCTGCAGCAGATATCTGGAAGTCTTGTTGTATCCATAAATAATCATGCAGGATTACAGTCATAGTATTTTCTAGTGCTGTAATATCATGTGCTCATTTTGTTTAGGAGGCATACCACTATTAGCTTTGAAATATTTTGTTTGTCCTATAATGTAGGATAACAAGCAGGATCTAAAGTAATTTCATTCCCTGATAGTTTTATTATTTTCCTTTCTTCTTTCTTTTCCTTTAGATATGGACTGTGGGCTCCGTACCTCCTGAGCAGGAATACACATATGTTTCTAATAGCAAGAACATGAAAAAAACTGACCTTCCTGGATCTTTACAATTTTCTTTGCCAAATCCACACACACACACAGATACATACATACACAATCACATACACACGCACACATATAAAGAGAGAAACATACAGACAGACAGACAGACAGACAGACACAGAGAGAAACAGAGACAGAAACACAGATACAGATACAGACAGACAGATAGACAGACAGAGAAACATAGAGACAGACCATTATTAATTGTATGGAAACAAAACATCTACTACCAATGTTGTTTCTTCTTAGATGATGCCTGACTACTGACTACTTTCCTTCAAGCTCAACTTCATGGAAGGTGTCTTCTGCATCATTAGGCATTATTATTACCCAATTTTAGTATATATTTAAACAATTTTATTTAATCCAGTTATCAGATGGATATATCTCTTCCCAAGCAGGCACATATAAAACAGAAAGTAAGTGCCCACTTGGTAAGGTTTTGTTTTGTTAAGTAAGCTAAGTGTATGTGGATGGTTTGGGAATT